CCACCCCCCACCCCAAGTACACTTCTCTATGCAACCTTAATTCTGGATTCCTGTGCTAACCATAATACTTAATCATATATCACCTCTAATCTGTTCTTTCCCTCATCTGTTTCAATACAATATACATAATTTATCCAAGTATTTGTCTTTTTATGACTGAGATATTTCACTCAGCATAATGTCCTCCAGGGTCACCCATTTTGTGTAATATTTCAGGAGTTCCTTGTTTTTCAATGCAGCCTAGTATTCCATTGTGTGAATATACCAGAGCTTCTCTATCCATTTGTTTGTTGATGGGCCCTTAGGTTGTTTTCAACTCTTTGCTATTGTGAACAAAGCAACAATAAACATGGATGTGCATATATCTACTTGGGTGGCAGTTCTGATTTCTTTAGGGTATATTATACTTGGTGCTTCATTACTTTCTTTAGTCCTAAGTTGTTTAGTGAGACCAGAGAATATTGCCACACTCATTTTTTTTTTTGCGAAGTCATTGTAGCTTATTGAGATGAAGTATAATTGTGAAGCTTCAGAGAACTAGCTTTCTCAGATAATCCTATTAGGCCAATTTGATTCACATTAACTTCAAAAAGTTCATTTTTGTTAAGTAAAAAGAGAATGCGTATCAGCTCACAGGTTGCTGAAATTAGATGTAGATGTCTAAAATGAACTATGAACTCAGCAGGCAGCTAAAAGGAAGTTGAGATGTCCAGCATTCAGGAAATTAAAATACAAATTGCAGTGGGGAAATATATCAGCAAAGACCCTACAAAAATTATAAAGAGCAGTAAAACCAAGCTGTTCCTTGGAGGCAAGGATTTTGAAGCTCTGTGTACTATGTTTTTGGCATGTGGCCAGGAGGGAGCAGTTCTTGGAGAAGAACATCATGCTTGGAAGAGTGAAAGGACAGCCCAGGAGAGGGAATACTCTTGATGAGATGGATTGATACAGTAGCTGGCTCAGGATAGGACACAATTCACAGCTGTTGTAAGGAGGGTTGCTGTAACATGTGACTTGATGGATTGACATAGTAACTGGGGAAAGGGGGTAGGTGTGTCAGAGACAGACTGGCTCAAGATAGGGCAGGGTTCAGAGCTACTGAAGACAGGTTCCTCACTGTGAGTGGCTGGCGACTAGATGACATGTAACAACAAACCTCTGGCATCTAACCTGTTTTCTGCCAGGAAGTAAGTGCTCAAAGTTATCTGTTCAGTGAATGACTAGAAACAGAATAGCTGCTCAGTACAAATAAGCTGCTTGATTGAGGACAATGAACTGTTGTCCTATCACCAACAGATAGATTGACCTATCAACAGTCTTTGACGTGTTCTTTCTCTATATCAGTGTTCATTTGCCTTTGAAGATAGTTTTTATTTTATTGGTTAACCCATGTGACTTCTTAAATTAGTTGAAATCTTTAAAAAAATCAAATTATATATGAGACACAAAATCAAAGACTTTCTAAAATACCAAAAAGCAAAGATACTACTTAAATAGTTAAGCTATTCTTTACTCTGTGATATTATCTATGATATTGTCAGGTACCTCATGTGCATAAGAAAGCTGTACAGTGAGTAAGGAAGTGGAAGGAAAATTGATGCCTTGGAAGTGTCATGGCAAAAATATTGAATACACCATGGACTGCTATCATAATGAACAAAGCTTTCTTGACAAAAAATGAAGCAAAAATGGCAGACTTTGTCTCATTCACCTTGCATTTCTCCTCCACTTTCCACTTGTTAATAGGAGAGGCCAGTTGTTGGAAAAAGGGTGCTCTGGTGATGTGGTCTATAGGGAGTCATGCTATAGGACAAAGGCTATGCCTCTGTCATGGTTCAAATACCAGTGGATCCACAAGAGATAGATGGGCAATTTAAAGTCTCCAAAACCACAAAGGAGGCTAGGGCCCTAGCTCACTGGCCTCACTCAGTTTACCGGCCTCACTCCCTGCATGCATCTGCTCCTCAATGTTACTTCCTTCCCATGTAGGAGGTTCCAGCCTGTGGAAGGAGGAAAGAGTGGATGCAGGCCAGGTCTAAGTGAGTCCACCCACAAAAATAAATCCTCCTGCACCAATGGTGTGCCCACCTACCTGGCATCCAGTGGGGGGGAAAAACCAAACCTACTAGAGGATCATCTATGAATCAGTCAGTTCGGACCTAACAGCACTGAGTTTTGAGTCCCTAGAGAGAAAATCATGCTTGATTTAGAGCAGGTAAAAAAGACAACAACCCTTGGATGAATTGACATTGGCTACAACAAAGGGTTAAAATACAGTAATGATTGTGAGGATGGTGTAAGGACTGAGCAGGTTTTGTTATCTTATTATTTTATTTTATTATTTTTGTGTGAGTGTACCGTCAAATCAGATCTGACTGGTATAGGAAGAGATTGTCCCTCCTTCCTCGGCAGAGGATTTGAACCATGCTCCTCTGAGATTGTAGTTCTGTTATCTTATTCTTAAGTTCCTATGATTTAGGACAGACTGGATGGTACCTGAAAATAACAAAAAGTCAGTTGTAATCATTTATTTCATTGTTGAGACCTCCAGGTGGAAATGCATTTGAGTGTATTTATTTAATTTTACTTTAGACTTTTAAAAAAAATTTTTTTGTGTGTGTACTGTCAAATCGGATCTGACTGGTACAGGGGGAGATTGTCCCTTCTTCTCCAGCAGAGTATCTGGTGGATTCAAACCATGTACCTCTGGGATTGCAGTGCAGCTTCTTGCCACTAGGCTACCAGAGCTCGCCGTAATTTTACTTTTGACTTTTAGAGGTTCTTTTCTTTAAAAAGAAACCAAAAAATCCATTGTGTAATAACAAAAATTTTCATGTAGCTACGTGGTCCTCTTTTTAAACCTAATTACACTCAAGGATCTTTTTTAGTGTTTACTTGATCTGTTCCCTCTCTTGCCCTAAATAGAAAACACAAATGCAGAGCACATATATTTAAATTTAGTATATGAGACTTTTTATATGTTCATGGTATGAATGATACTAGTTAAACTCTAGTAATGAGCACTTATGGCCTAGTGAGTAAGGAGTTGTGCTGCCAACCCAAAAAGGCAGGTGGTTCAAATTCACCAGTTTCTCTAAAAGAGAAAGATGAGCAGTCTACTCCCATGCTATTTATAGCTTCTGAAAAACTATTGGAGCGTGAGTGTGAGTTGGCTCCAACTTGACAGCAATGAAGTGGTTTTGAATGTTGGTACGTTCCCCCCACACACACACACTTATTAAGAGTTGCAAGTAAAGAAAACATGTCATTCTTTAAAAATACTAATTCTGTCTGGTTCTTCAGATTTTTGCCACTGTGGATATTGTAAAAGTTGTTCCTTGTGTCTATGTAATTATGACTTAAAAAACTTTTTTCTGTATCAAATGCTGATAAGTTATAGGCTGTTTATGAAAGTTAATAATCACAATCCTGTAAAAATTTTTTTTTATTTATTTATTTTATTTTTGTGTGAGTGTACTGTCAAATCAGATCTGACTGGTACAGGAGGAGATTGTTCCTCCTTTTCCCAGCAGAGCATCTGGTGGATTCGAACCGTGTCCCTCTGGGATTGTAGTTGCAGCTCCTTGCCACTAGGCCACCAGAGCTCCCCCACAATCCTGTAAAAATTTAAATCATCTGTTTGGATCCCTACATTAAAACACTTAAATTTTTTCTAAACTTGATCCTAGTAGCCTCAAGTTTATATTATAGAACATAAGAGTTTGTTTCTTAAATAATGAACTCTCTAAAATCATAGTTTGGCTCTTTTTTGTTTTGTTTTAAGCAAAGAATTTTGTTTTTAATGATTATTTTTTGGTAATACTAGTAGAGCCATCATTCACCTTCTAAATGAAAGTATGAATTTTAATACATTACTGCCTTTCTTTTTGTTTAGGTTTACAATCTAATCATCACATTAACAGAGTTGTAAGTCATCCCACACTTCCTGTTACAATAACTGCTCATGAAGACAGGCACATCAAATTTTTTGACAATAAAACGGGTATGTTGCTTAATTTCTAAAATTTATATTAATACTGCAAATTTGTGATAACAAAATACTAGGGCTTTTTATAAGTTTTGTTGAATCTTTATCTTCAAGATTGCCATATTAAATATTTTTAACTCATAAATTTTTTTATCTAGTATCGCACGTTACAGTATGTTAGAGTTTGCCCTTAAATAATGTGCATATATACAGTGCTTTTGTTTGTTTATTTGTTTTTCACTTTATAAATCAAGTATTTTATTTGATGCAAGCCACCAGCATTACCTCAGCCTTTAGGGTGCTTCTAGTGCTTCCTGATGCAGCCATGGCTCACATGGCCCCTGAGTTTCTGAGTCTTCCTCGAAGAAAAGACATATATACAACATTATCTACCTGTTACAATTTCTTCATCTTATGTTAGTTTAATATAAACATTTTCATTTTATCTTCTTCACAAAGTTAGGAATAATGTAGAAAAAGTAGCCTGTTTTTCTCTGATATTTCAAATATATTCTTAAATTATTTCTCAATAAATCACAGAACAGTATTGCAGAAAGTCAAATCAAGTTCTAATTGAGCCATACAGTCTATTTATTTGGTTAAGGATCTCTTCTTTTTCATCTTCTAACAGCTGTTGTTGTAGGTGCCATCAAGTCAAGTATGACCCATTGCGACCATATGAACAACAGATCTGACCCCTGTCTTTTTTTGTGCCACTTCCACACTTGCTGACACATTTGAGCCCCTTGCGACAGCCATCATGCCACATGGGACTCTTAATACCTGGAATGCTGTGTATTAGCTGGAATATCTGGAATGCTACATATAATATTGCTTCTTCTATTTAGGAAATATAGAAGCTTCTTTGAGGAGGGACTAAAACAATAAGAAACTTACATGTTAATTGAAGCAATAGTTCAGGTCAACACATTTTTAGTAATAAGAAAAAGGTTTTCTGAAAGTTATTTAGGTCATGGCAATAATTTTTCATCATTAGAATCTTACACAAAATCTTTTCATTCAAGTAACATTTTAGCAAATAGGCTCCTTTTAACTAATACATTACATTGTAAACGATGAATATAAAAAGTATATTTCACCATAAATAAGATTCATGTGATATTCTTAATTAACATCTTAACAAATCAACTCTGTGACTTAGTTTTATCATGTTTCTAAAAAGAGTACTTTTATTAATAAGTGAAGATATATAGTCATAAAGGAAAGTTCAAGAATTTTGAGTACTGTATTTGAAGATTGGAGCCATGCATGCAGTTTGCTGTGGACTGACAGCCTAAATTTTGGTGGCTCAGCAGAGGAAAGGCCTAGTAATTTGCTTCTTTTTTTTTTTTTAATTTTTTGTGAGTGTACCGTCAAATTAGATCTGACTGGTACAGGAGGAGATTGTCCCTCCTTTCCTGGCAGAGCATCTGGTGGATTCGAACCATGCACCTCTGCGATTGTAGTTGCAGCTCCTTGCCACTAGGCCACCAGAGCTCCCTGTAATTTGCTTCTATAGACGTTGTTGTATCAAGTTGGAGCTGACCCTTTAGTGGGTTTTCAGAGACAATTTAATCACAGGGAAGGAGATTGCTGATCTTTTCTGCTGCAGAGCAGATGGCAGATTTGAACCACGTTCTTTCGAGTTTGCAGTGCTGCTTCTTACCACTAGACCAGCAAAGCTCCCTTCTATAAAGATAACAGCTAAAAAACTCTAAAAGTGATAATATATGGGGTTGCTATAAATTAAAAAGAGACTAAGTGGCAGTGGGTTTGTTTCTTTAGGGTCGAGGCGAGGCAGGTATCTCCCAAGGTACTTAATCTTAGTTCTTTCTGAATCAACCCAAATCTTTCTGTTGGTCTCTTCCCCCTACCCCACCCTCCCTCTTGCCCCAACACATACACACACAGAGCAAAAACACTGGTTAAAGTTAATGTTTAAATATATTTATTTAAAAAATACTATTTTTTTAAAAACTGGTAATTTAAATATGCTAATTATATACTTCCACACTTGTACTTATAACTGGAATAGTTGCTGTTGTTAAGTTCTGTTAGTTGAGCTTGATGAACAAAAATATTTTTAGTAGGAAAAAAAAAAACGCCAAAACTAAAATGATTAGTAAGTTTATTAATTTGTTTTACTAGAAACATAGAAATTGTTAACAGTGAGTAGGTTTAATAAATAATTTTTTAAAAATTTATTCATAATTTTGTGTTCTGTACTATCATGTTACTGTTGTTGTTACGTGCTGTCAAGTCACTTGAGACCCACAGCGACCCTATGTACAAAAGTCCTAAACCCTGCTCTATCCTATGCCAACCTCATTGTCTCCGACACACCTACCCCCATTACCCTAGTGATTGAATCAATCTATCTTATCAAGGGTCTTCCTTTCCTGCACTGTCCCTCCATCCTCCCAAGCATGATGCCCCTCAACAAATACTGGTCCCTTCTTGTAACATGTCCAAAATATGTCAGATGAAACTTAAGAATCTTTTCCTCCCAAGAAGCAGCCTGGTTTAACCATCTCCAGGACGTTCGTTCTCTTAGCAGCCCAAAGTATATTTAATACTCTTCCCCAGTACCACAGCTCAAAGGCATCACTTCTTCTGTCATCCCTAGACATTGTCCAGCTTTCTGATGCCTAGCAAGTAATTGTAAGGATTATGGCTTGAATCAGGCACACCTTAATCTCCAGACTGACATTACTCCTCTTCAGTACTTTGGAGAGATCCCTAATAGCTTGTCTTTTAATTTCCTGGCTGCTGGTGTTGATTGTGAAGCTGTTAACGAAAACTGTTAACAATCTCAGTCTCTTCACCATCTATCATGATGCTACCAATCTGCCCAGTGGTGAGAATCTTTCTTTTCTTGATGTTGAGCTTCAATCTATATTGAAGGCTGTAGTCCTTGACCTTCTGCAATAAGTGCTTCAGGTTCTCCTCAATCTCAGCAAGCAGGGTTTGTGTCATGTGCATAACACAGATTGTTTATGAGTCTACCTCCAATCCTGATGCCACACTTTTCCTTATAGAGCCCAGCCTCCCAGATAATCTGTTCCACATTTAGATTGAAAAGATATGGAGATAGGACACATCCTTGACGCATACGCTTCCCAATTTTGAATAATGCTGTGTTTCCTTGCTCTGTTCTGACAACTGCCTCCTGGTCCGAGTATAAGTTTTGCATAAGCACAGTCAAGTGTTCTTGGATTCCCAGTCTTCTCAAAGTCAGCCACAGGTTGTAGTGATCCACATAGTCAAATGCCTTTGCATAGTCAATGAACACTGGTAGACATCCCTCTGGTACTCTCTGCTTTTCAGCTAAGATCCATCTGACATTAGCTATAATATCCGTAGTGCCATGGCCTCTTCTAAATCCAGCCTGCACTTCAGGCAGTTCTCTGTTGATGTGATGTTCCAATCCTAGAGTTAAGCTTGGAAAATTATAGGACCTAGAAAGAAATGAATGAGTTAATTTTCTGTTGGATGAAAATTATCTTGGAATTTTTATTGATTTCTGTGTTCTCCATCCTTGTTTGAATCACTGAGTGGTACAGTTAATGAGCTTAACTAGTAAACAGAAAGGTAACAGTTCAAATCCATTGTAAGCTTATTGATTTATTTTCAAATGATAGCCATTGAAAACCCTCTGGAGCACAGTTCTACTCTTACAGACATGGGTCACCATCGTAAGACAGTATCAACTCAATGGCAACTATTTTTTTAAATACCCTAGTTAAAGTTAAGTTTATGCCTTGGTGGCATAGTACATAAATGTGAATTACTAAAGGTCAGTTGTTTAAATTTTTATGGGAGAAAGATGAGAAAGTCTCCTGGTAAAGATTTACAACTTCAGAAACCTGATGGCGGGTCGCTATCCCAGCAGTAATAAGTTTGGTTTTGATTGGTTGGTTTTTAGTTTAGGAGAAGAATAAGGTACATCACTGTTACAGAGTTGATTTTTTTTTAAGAGAAGTCAATGACTGATACTTGGTACTTCTTGAAGTTATTTGAAGCAAAAGTATATTTTATCTCAAGTCTTTTATAGGAGTAGACTGAGAATAATTGATTGTATAATTTATATTAGATTTATATTGGACTCACTGTTGGGAAAATCTGCTGTCATGGAACTCTCCAAAGTGTTAAAGAACAAGGTTGTCAGTTTAAACACTAAGGGACACCTGAACCAAGCCATAGTATTTTTTAGTTGCTTCCTATGCATTTGAAAGTTGAACAGTGAATTAAGAGGATAGAAGTATCAATGCCTTCGAATTGTGGTGCTGGAGAAGCGTACTGAATACCCCAAGGGTTGCCAAGAGAAACTAGGGTGCTCTGTGGTAGCAAGAATGGTGAACTTTCTTCTCACATACTTCGGGATGTTGTCAGGAGGACTCAGTCCTTAGAAAAAGACATCAGAGAGAGGACGAAAGACATCCTCCTCCCTTATTAAATGGGTTGACACACTGGCTGCAAATTATATGTTTGAGCTTATTAGAGATTGTTAGGTTGCCACAGGATAGGGGAAGGTTCAGATCTGTTGTTCATGGTGAGTATGAACTATACTCAGTAACACATAACAAGAAAAACAAGCAGTTAGGTATATGTATATTGTGTTGAATGATTTGTTCTTCAGATTACCAGAGAAAAGTACAAGTATTTTGTTAATTTTATGAAACCACAACAACTAATTTTAATTGGCCAATGACCTCATTAATTTTCTCCTCCAATTTTAGGTGTTTGTTGTTGTGTGCTGTTGAGTTAGAACCAACTCATAGCTGACTCTCCAGCAGGGTTTTAGAGGTATTAGAATATTACTAATCTTTATCTGATGGGGCAATTGCTGGTCTTGAACCACATGCTTTTGGGTTGGCAGTGCAACTTCTTACCACTATGTCACTAAATTTTCTTTAATTGTTTAATATTGTCACAAATTGGGCTTTCTAAAATAACTTTTTAACATATAGACAATGTTATATTTTGTGTTCAAATCCACAGCTATAGCTGCATGAAGAGAGCAGCAAAAATAAATCTGTGTCACATCCAAATTTTGAATGTCATTATGGGACCAGATACATGACAAATGATTATCCTTTTTTTGGAGATTTCCATCTCTTGTTAGTAACACTCAGGGCATTTGAGTAGACCTTGACCCATTAAAATGAGTCCTGATGGTATAATATGTAGTATTGTAGTAATCCAAAGACTGCGCTTCTCTGGTGGTACTACTCTACCAGGGGCTCAGAGAATACTGGAAAATCTCCTCACATGTGATTTACAGTCTCTAAAAACCCACTGGAGGGTCAGTTATGAGTTGGTTCCAGTTTGATAGCAATGACTTGACTTTGACTGATACTTCCTAAAAATACAAGTATTTGCTAATTGTGGTTGTTTTCCATTTATCAAAAGCATATATTACTAGCTAGAGATGCTCTCACTCCAAAGTAATGTAATGCAACTTTGTGATCACAACTTATTTTGTAATTTTAGCAGGCTTTTGAATCCTGTTGCTTGAATATTATGAAATTCATTTTTCCATTTTTGAGAGCAGTGTTTCTGTTTATTCATAGGGGAAACTAGTTTTTCTCTTGTATCACTGCTCCTTT